TGCTGATGTGGAAAACACCTCCTCAGCACCACTGCTTGCCTCACCGTGCACATGAGCTGATCCGGCCTGAAGGGCTCCGGCTCCCATCAGGTCAGGTCTGGCAACTCCTCACTGCTTCCAAACCGTCTCTTCCTCCCCCCACCACTCAGTCGAATTCCTCAGCTTTGCCTTTGATGTTCAGGGCTCCTAGATTGTCATATACAATCGATTCACTTGTTTTTTTGGGTCTTTGTTGTAAGAGGGACCATAGGAAGCATCTGACTTACTCCGCCATCTTGGCCCTGCCTCCTTGATGGAGTTACTTACTGAGGAACAGAATGAAGGAGAAGAAGCAAGTCTTCCAGAAAAGAAAATTAACCAAGTTTTAAACATTGAATTTGAGACATCAAAGTGAAATACTCTAGTACAAGGCCGGATACATGGGTCTGCTTGGGAGGAAAGAAGCCATGATGGATATGCAATGGCAAGAGCTGTTAGCATGGGGATGGGAGCCGAAATCAAGGGTGTAGCTGAGATCACTGCAGGAGAAGGTAGTATGGAAGAGAAAGGGTAACAGACCCTGAGAAGCAGGAGATCAATTGTACTTCCATTGGACAAAATTCATTTGCATGCCTATAGAAAGGAATCATTTGCAGTGATATCAATTACCTACAATTTGCAGAGTTGTAAAATAGCTCAAAGATAAAAAGGGCACAGATACCACATAGAATCAGATAATCTGGAAAGGTGCACTAGAAATATCTATTTTTCCACTGAACACAACTGTACTCTTTAGTTTGTTTCAAAGTCTTTCCTGATTTTTCCCTGGAATGCTAAAAAAAAAAAAAAAAGAAAGATGTTATCCCTGCCATTTCTGTTAGTTGGGTATGTTATAAAATACACATTGAAGTGTATTCAGGTTAATGCTCGGGGTCCCAAATTCTGCTTCAGAATAATACTTACTTACTAATTAGAGACATGAAGCAGAATTTGGGATCCCTGAGCATTAATCTGTCTTCTAATTGGAATGGAAAATATTTAAGAATCAAGCCAAGCCACCTCAAATCCTCTCTAAAATGAAGCAGGGTATAAATAAAATACATATGTTCCAATGGCCCTCTTGGTTCTGTTTAAAAAAAAAAAAAAAA